TTCTCTAAAGACACCAGGAATCAATTAAGAAAAAGGATTTTTTTCTTCTTTGAAATTCTGTGACAATTCCCTAATTCATGTGGAAATTTGACATGAAATGGGCATGGGAAAGTGATAACCTGTGCTTGTGCAAAAGACTGTAATGGTTGAACAGTACAATTTCCACTGGCACAGGGTTCAGAGCTAGCAACATTAGCAGACACAGATGGCTTTGGTTGAGTTCCTGACTCTCTTAGTGATCTAATATTTTCGGCAGTGTTGAATTGGCGCCAACGAAGATCGACTATTTGTTTGAGAATCTCAAAGTGACGCTTACCGCTAGGAATGACTGTCTCAAACTCTTTCAATTCTTTGAGAAAATAACTCAATTATGTTTTCAGGCAAATGGGATGCTATAGTTTTGACATAAGTAGCATTATAGATAACACCGGTTATCTCTTCTTTGTTGACAAGATCTGAAGAAGCCAGACTTTCAATCTGAAGAAGTGTTTGGGACACCTGCTTGAAGTATTCTATCTGAGATTTACTTGATGCAGTTGGATGCTTCAGTTTGGACAAGTTCCTAACCTTAGCTTCTGAGACTAATCTTAAATCACCATATCTGCTGATAAGATGCATCTTGATCCTGTGAACGTCTTCTCTAAATGACCAAACCTCTTTCTTGATATGATCAGAGAGATAAGAAGATACCAGAAGTGTAGCTTGATCCTTTGGAGAACATGAAGTTTCAGCAAACCGTAAGAATGTCTCCAGGAAAGAGTACACTGTATCTTCATCTGAGAACCCTGTAAATGGTTGCAATTCAACTCCTTTCAGAAGATTCTTCTCCCCGCTAAGGTGAAGATGATGTTGCTTTCTTTGCATATTCAATGATCTCTCCCACTTGCGCAAAGAGGTGAATACTTCATCTATATGGTTATGAGTTGTAGAATTGTTTAGATTAATTCGTTCAGCTTTCTTTTCAAGTTCCAAGAAATCTTTCTTCAGCTCAAGTACTAACGGCAGTTCATAATTTGTAATTTCTACAATTTGCTGGCGAGTTAGCTGTGAATCAAGATCCATGCTGGTTGTTTCCAAAATAAGCTTTCCACACTATTTGATTTTTCTGATGAGTCTTGCTGTCCTATCACTATTTACAGAGCTATCAGATGACAATGATTCAGACGAATTGTTTTTTTCAGCGGGAAGTACAGAATTTTCTTGCTGAAATTCTGATCTCTTTATCAATGATGAAGATACATCAACAGTAGGATAACCTTCATTTGGTACAACCTGAGATTGTTGAGGAACAGGATGCAGTGTTGGATTAACTTGCTGCATTTCAGATGTAAAACCTGCTGCTGGGAGTTGGGCATTAGTTCCTTGAGCTTCATCCTGGGCTGGTTCAACATCTGAACCTGGTGGTATTATGTTAATATCCACTTTATCATAGTTTCTCTGAGATATCTGATTAATTAATTCTGAGTGTTTCTTACAAGTATTAATCAATCTGTTTTTGGTTTCCTTAATCTCTTTCATTGAAACCTCAACCTTTTTTACATCATCATTAAAAGATTGAGTAAAGAGTTCCATTTCAGAGAAGGCACACTCAATCTTATCATTAAACTCATCTCTTTCAGAGTGATTTTCATCTAAAGAAGACCGAATTTCAGACAAATCAGTTTTTAGTTTCTCCATTTCAGAAATTACAAGACTTCTGTTTTGAATACAGCGAGCTCCAATACTACTGTATTCACGAGCAATTGCAGCACGCACATGCTCTGTGATACGTATCTCAGCAGCAGAAATATACTTAGCTAGATCTTGCTGGAGCTCCTGTCTTACACGTGACATTTGCTGGTCTGTATGCACATAAATCTCAGAAATTTTAAGCAGCCAAGTAATCCATTGAAGAGCTACTTTCAAGATTTACACTTTCCACATCAGTACCCAATGAAACAGGGATTTGGTTTCTTGTGGCCTCGGTGGGTGGTTGTGAAACAATTTTCATATTATCTACAACAAGGGTTGCGTAATCTAAAATGTTAGTGAGAGGAAGCTCATAACAATCATCATCTTGATTTATCAATGATCGACAAGTACTCCGCACCTTAATTAGAATTAACAAATATTGGTCGAAAGATTCTTGTGACAAAGGCTTCTGAGAATAGGCAGCAATTTGATCAACCTGAGAGTTCATTGACTTGATTTGATCCCGTAAATCCTCCAGGTTTCTATCAGGAGGTTTCTCTGGTTCTGGTTCTACTTCTCTCTCCACCATTCTGCTTGGAGGTTGGTTTCTGAGGCCAAGATTGTCCCAAGATAAGGATGGCTCCTTATCAGTCAATGCTGCAGTATCAAAAGTAGAGGCTGATCTTGCTCTAGGAGTTGGAACATATGAGCTAAGAAGGGAATCTTGAGAGCTAATTTCCCCATCTTCTCTCAATGTTGATGATGTAGACACACTATCCATCAGTCGACCAATAACAGATACAGGTCTTTGAAGAGAATAGTTTGGGGATAAACCATCACTAGTTGGTGTTCTTGTTCTTGGAGTAGGAACTGGATTTAGAACACCATCAGAACTAGCTGTAGATAAACCTTGTGATCGAGTTCTCATATTAGACATGGTCACTTATGGTTAAGAGTACATAGATAACAAGTTTCCAAGTAGTTGGAAAACATAAACGGTGCTCAAATGATGCATTTATATTTACAATGTAACCTTGCAATAATGAGCTTGGACATACATTGTATTTACAAATAAGAACTTAGTAATTAATTTGCCATATAAATGGTATAATTACAATACAAATACTGCTCAATACAGCATCAATTAATGTGCAATGTATCCTTGCAAATAGTGAGCTTGGATGTACATTGTACAAAACTAGATTGAATAATTTCCATACAACTGGACAATTATCAATGTTTATAGCACACAAATCTATTCCTGCAATGTATCCCTGCAGTAAAGAGCTAGAAATTACATTGCAGAATAAACAGGCATTTTAAAAAATTAGAGAAAGTTGTGAACAATCCCTTTAATGTTGAATCCCTTCAATGTACAGTTAGAAGGTTATAAAGCACAGTCCCTTTAGTATCAGGGAACAGTCCATTTAATTTTAGCCAACTAGGGTTGATGAGTCCCTTTAGTTTATTGCTATCTAGGGTTGATGAGTCCCTTTAGTTTATAGCTACCTAGGGTTGACGAGTCCCTTTAGTTTATAGCTACATAGGGTTGACGAATCCCTTTGGTTTATAGCTATCTAGGGTGTTTCTTGAACAATCCCTTTAAATGCTAGTGTAAATAGGCACTTAATATCATCATATGGGATAAAAATTTATCAAAATTGTAGTATAAACTACCAATAGGGTGTTATACAAAAAAGACGAGTCAGTCCTACCAAACTATCAGTGCATTTGGTTTGGAATTATGATGATAATTAAGAGACATATTACACTTCAAACATTTATTAACAATATAAAAACATGTATTACTTGTAAGTTCTTGCTCTGCTTGTTCTTGATGAGGGGGGAGGCGAGCATGTACCATAGAGTGTACGAGTGAACACTCTAAGGTACAGAGGCTTTTGCAGGATATCGGAAACGATCCAACTCCAGCAATATTCGGCCCTCAGAGACAAACTATTATTCAACCAAATTCTAAAGTAATGGAAATATAGATTTACAATATATACCTTGAATAAGAATTCATACTTTCTATTTCGATAATCATTTTTATCTTGATAGTTTCACAAAAGAACACTATGAATCGAATATTAATCTATACCTGATAAATTGTTTGGGTATAGGATCTAACTGACTGCGCGGAGTTAGGTTTAGTAGGATTGTAAACAGTGCAGTACACTGTTTACAAACAGAGCAAAAAGGGGCAACAAGTATATATGGAATATGGTATTAATATTTACTGTGTATTAAGTATAACACATTATACAACAAATGATTATTGTTCAATGAAAATATCCGGCTTCCGACGGAAATTTGAATTTAGAATTTTTGAATACATTGTTTAATGGAATTTGGTTTATAAAAAGATTCCAGTTTTTATTTTCAATTTTTTAAAAATCGTTATAAAAAGTTTAAAAAGTTTAAAAAGCTTTATGTCCTTTCTCAAAGAATAAATACTTTAACGTAAAAAATAATAAAACAAATCATAGAATTCATTGTATGTTTTAGCCTTTACAAGCAAGGGCCATTCTGTGGTTCAGACTTAATATCCAAAGAAATAATATATTGTTTATTAAATTTATGTATGATACATTTTTCATTCATTGCCACGCTACAGGTCATGGATAAAAATGTTTTACTCATACTGGAAATTTTCCTCCGGTGGATTCCCGCTGAAAAAGGGGTTTCTTGGGACCCTTTTCTGCAGGAAAAAAATAACAAAATTTTCGCTGGAATTACTTAAAGTTTGTAAGTTATAACTCTTCAAAATAATATTTTTTAAATATATTCATATGCTTGCAAACAATCTTTCTAATAATCTCAAAACTGGAAATTATCCTTTTTAGTTGAAATATAGATACAACATGAAAAAAGAAAAACATTAAAATATCTGAGAAATAAAACAAATTATAAGAGACTATTTTGTTTGAGAGCTAAAGGGGATTAGTAGAGAGGCATAAATATCTTCTAATATAGCATTAAAGGGAATGTGCGCCAAAATTATAACCACAAATTACAGGGGTAGTACTATAATAAACCAGACCTGATATCAGAGTCCTTCCAGTCTGATTACTTACTGCTTTAAACAAAAAAATTTGGCATTTTTATAGTCCCAAAGAAAGGGGAAAAAGGCAACTTACGCAACTGATTTTTTGGGGTGGGCGGGTTGGCTTGGTCGAAAAAGATTGCCTTAGACCACCCTCAGAAAATGTCAGATTATCTAGAGGCTTGAATGGCTTGATTGGGACTAAAGAATGCCTAAGGCTAAGGCTCCTCCTGCTGGGGTAAACAGGATGAATATAGCTTAATTATATGTGTATTGTATTCAGAGTGTGGAGCTCAGTTGTAGATGGACCCTTTGGAGGCACAGGTGGATATGCCTGGTCAGATTCAGGGAAGGTTAATAATGGACCTCCTACTGGTATTTTTGTAACATTTTATAACATTAAAAAAATAATTAACATTAACCCTATACTGACGGGGCTATTTTTGTCTAATATAGATTAGGGGCTATGATTTTGCCCTTAGAGTTGAAAGAGCCAGAAGTGTGATACATGTCTTTAGTCCAACTTTTCAAGGCCTGCTCATTATAAGAAACAATTAGACCTCAATGTTTAATGTTTAGGGTGCAAGGAAGGATTTTAAAAAGTTAAAAAAGTACGTCTGAAAAATGTTAAAAAATAAATATTTTTACTTCTTTTAAATATATACATTTTAGCCCTGTAGCCTAAGAAATAAGAAAGTTATTAACCATTTCTGATTTTTATAAAACACCGTCCAACCAATGATTGTTCTCCAGCCAACCCTATGCATCAAAAAAAAATATTTTGTTCAGAAAAATTTGTTCACAACTATGAATTAAAAAAGTGAAGAAGTTTTAGTGCTCTAATCTTAGCCATTTTTAAGATATTTAGAAAAATCCACGGGGGGGGGTAGAGTAGGGAACCCCCCCCCTCATGATAGGGTTAATAAAAACAAACTCTAGAAAAAAACTTGAGTCTTTATAAATGGAGTACCAGTAAGCTTTTGCTTTTAATCACATACAATCCAAAGATTAAAAACTATTATGATCCAAAAAAAAAATTGTTTATAAAGCTAGGCTCATGAAAATTTGAATCTAGGTCAGCTACCTTAATAGATGGAATTGGATTCGTGTATGGAAATGTGGCAAGTGTCCAACATGGTGGAACTGGAGGATATGTTTCCTCTTGTAATTGGAAATCAGATGACAAGGTTCTCACTGTTAAGGTAACTATCATCATTGCTTGACCTGTAGAATTTTAACTTACAGGTTTACCCACAGCGGATGAGACTTCAGAGACGACTGTACATTTATTATTTAGTGGTTTTCCTTAGATTGAAGGTTTCTCTAACCATGAATGTACATATAACTAAAAGTTTTCTTCCAAATAAGTGCAATTTTCGTGGGAAAACTAAAATTTGCGTTTTTGTTTGCACACCTGAATTTTGCCTGAAATTTGGGGCAATATATGCAATTTGCGTTGAAAACCCTAACTCAAACCTTTCAGGGCCAAGGTGGTGCATATTTGTACCAGATAGAATTAATTACAGAGAGTGGTGTTAGGTGTGGACCTTATGGTGGTGGAGGTGAGTAAATCATTATTGATTAGGCAATTCAATAAAGGTTTCATATTGTTTGTGTATTTTACAAATTCAAAACATTTTCACATTTATCACATAATCCCAATTTAATAACAATTATCGTTTTGAGTACAATCCACAATTTAAAACAAAACTCACTTAATTTCTTAACTTTAGAATTAGATACCCTTAATCCTGATCTCTTAATCTGAATATCCACTCTGAAAACTTTTAATTTTCTTTTTAATCAGCTCTTTTCGGATATCCTATTCCCTACTACATGTAATAAAGATATGTTTGATTACAAATACAGATGCATTGATTGGACTAATATCCAATTGAACTAAAGTCTGCTGTTCACAAGCCGGTTTTTCGAGCATTTAAACAAATGTAAATCTAATCATGTTAATATGAGCTTATTAAAAAATATATTTTTTCACATTTGAGGACTATAGTCCTAGTATTTTTGAACGTTAGTCTTAATAAACATTAATCAAAAGCTTGCATTCGTTCCATCGATCCTTAGTCCAATTGATATGACAACACATGAATGAAGAAAAATAAAAAACCGGGTTTTCAAATACTAATTTAATCTTATGATAGATGTATGAGAGGATCAAGCATTGATCTCAATATCCCCCATTCTAAAGTTTTGAGTTCTAATGATTAAATTTCCTGCATTTTAAATAAACATTTTGTTTTAAAAATTATTGAACTTGTTGAAAACAGGTGCATAGCGCCCTGGAACAGATAAATAGCAAAACTAAAACATAATGCTAAATGAGAAATAGCAAATTAAGGGATTGATGAAATAAAGGTTACTAATAATATTTGTTGAAAAAGGGAACTTATGAAGAGTAAAGATAAAACATAACATTTGCATCATGAAGGTGGAAGTGCCTGGACTTCTAGCCGTCCTGGCTGTGTACTAAAGTACTTTTCAGGTAAAACAGCTTTTTTATAAAAGTGTCATTTTTAATTCATAATCTTGGTGTGCCATGGATATTGAAATATAAAAGAAATATTTGAGCTCTATGCAATGATTTCCACTACAGAAAACAAGCCACTTTAGATACGCTCAGTTTAAACAACAACGGGTTTAAATAAATACTTTATTGACTAACTTATTTTTACTTTATCAATTTAAGAAATCAAAAATATGTCTATTCATGGTGACGTGGCAGATCTGAGTTCCTCTTGCCGCGTCTCTCTATCCAGTTTAAACTTGGATCGTCTTCCGCCACACCACTAAACTTAAACCTCACCATTATTAACCCTATAATGGCTCTAAGGTTTTATTTGGGTTGGAAATAATTGCATGAAAAGATTTCTTTTGGAAAGTAAAGACTAGAAAAAATAGATTAAGGACCCATGTAAATGTCGTCTTCAGCTAGAACTTTAAAATTTTCATAATCAAAAATAAATTTTTTTTGTATATTTGTATGTATTTCATATGCAAATACTATATAGTCTCTTAATAAATTCATTGATTTTGCCTGGCAGGCTTGCACTCCTAATTCTGTAAGAATTTATCTTTAAAACTGCTTAGCTTTGTTTTGGCCCCCCCTTAAAAAGAAAAAGAAATGTAAGCCCTTCCAGGGAAAAAACCTGAATAGGAATCTCTTAATATCTTTAAAGCTATGTCTAGCTCTCAACTACTCATAAATCTGTCAAAATACAAAAGTGAAGACCAAGAGATACAGGGTGTCCCACGAAACATGACAGTATGCAGGACGACTTGAATGTTGTCTTGATTTTTGATATAATTTGCTGCGTTTATTTGTCAATCTCCCTCCCAGGCATATACCTAAATTTTTTTGTAAGAAGAGCAGGTGTTTTGCAAAATTGATTATTGTTTATATAGATTCCCTTCCCTAAACTCTTCATGCATCCTACCCCTATCCCATATATATTTTTTTCTTTATTTAAAAAGTTGTATTTTTTTTAAATTTCAAAGTTTGATGCAAACCTATACCTATATTTTCGTAAATTTCATACCAAGAAAAGTTTTTTAGGTTTTTACTTTACGTATTTTTCTTTTTTTTTAATTTTCTTCTTTCGACCCTGTCTTACTCCGCTAATTATCTCTTTCCTTCCCTTGAGCCTATTCTCCTTACTTTCCTTCTCCTTACTTTCCTTCTCCTTACTTTCCTTCTCCTTACTTTTCTTCTCCTTACTTTCATTCTCCTTACTTTCCTTCTCCTTACTTTCTTTTCTTCTCCATTTATACTTTTCTTCTCCTTCTACCCTAACCCCTTTCTTTATCCTGAACTAACCACAGAGCGAAGCATCCTGTTTCTTTTCGTCTATAAATGTTTAAAGTTACAGATTTGTTTATTTTATACTTTTTCATTCAAAAATAATGTATATTCCAACAAAAAATAATTTAAGAAAAAAGGCTATGTATAAGGGGTTAAATTGTGAACCCTTTTCTCGTCAACCCTACTCATCCACACCTAATCCTCAACCCTACTCCCCTAACCACTACTCAACCCTACTCCTTAAACCTACTTCTCAACCTTTCTCATCAACCCTACTCCTAAGCTCTACTCCACAACCCTACTCCTCAATCCTACTTCTCAATCTAACTTCTCTACCCTACCCCTCCCATGTACATAATTTAAAGCTGTACTGTTATTTTACATGTTACACGCAAGCATCCCTCCCCTAAACACTCCTCAAACCTACTCATCAACCCTACTCCCCTAACCACTCCTCAAACCTACTCATCTCCCCTTCTCACAACCCTACTCCTAAGCTCTACTCCCCAACCCTACTCCTCAATCCTACTTCTCAATCTAACTTCTCTACCCTACCCCTCCCATGTAATAATATAAAGCTATCCTGTTATTTTACATGTTACACACAATGCATCCCTCCCCTAACCACTCCTCAACCCTACTTCTCAATCTAACTTCTCTACCCTACTCCTCTCATGTACATAATATAAAGCTGTCCTGTTCCATCCTTATCTTATTAATCAGTCCCATCCTACATCAGTCCTGTTTCTATCTTTAAACCTGATTCAAATACGTCCCATCCTTCCCCCTTTTATATACCATCCTTATCCTTTTGAATATTCCCGACCAATCCTTTTACTTGACATCTGTTCCATCCTTATCTTATTTATCAGTCCCATCCTACATCAGTCCTCTCCTTATCTTTTAAACCTGTTCCATCCTTATCTTATCAGTCCCATCCTACATCAGTCCTGTTTCTATCTTTTAAACCTGATTCAAATACGCCCCCATCCTTCCCCTTTATAAATCATCCTGTTCCATCCTTATCTTATTAATCAGTCCCATCCTACATCAGTCCTCTCCTTATCTTTTAAACCTGTTCCTTCCTTATCTTATCAGTCCCATCCTGCATCAGTCCTGTCCTTATCATTTAAACATCCTTATCATATGTTATTTATAATACTAGGTTTTTAGGGCGCTTCGCGCCCATCTTCTATTTAAATTGTGAACATGTTCTTTTTGTTTACATTTTAAAACAAAGAAGAAAAAAGTTTCGCGGATTTTAAAAATTCGTGGATTTTCAAGAATTTTATTTTTTTATCATTCATAAACCTTCCCTATGGTCACGTGATGTCCCACAAAAAATTTGGGCCCGATCAGTTCAGCTGTTTTGATGTTTATTGAATACAAACAAACAGACAAGACAAATTTATATATAAATTGGTTTACCCACAAAGGAAAAGAAAAAGACCCGATAATTTCTTACGACATGAATCTTGATTTTTGGTTTTCTGCTTTTAAATAATGGACTTCAGCAAAGAAGGAAATTAATTTTAGTCCACAATTTAGTCTCACATTTTGTGAGTAACCCTGTATGTCCCAACATTATCCTGCTTGTTAAATTTACACCCACACTTACCTTTACAGTTATTTGGAGAAATTGCATTCTAGTTTTTAAAACATAAACCTTCAGCAGAAGAAAATCTTAAAATTGCTTCAAAATTCATGAAGGTTTCTTAGATTACCTCTTCTAAGCTTTAATCAATCACAACAGTTGAGCAAAAAAAATTTGTTATAAGACACGAAAAATATTGTACATGCATGTACATGGTACATGCATAATAATACGTATATATATGTATATATACATATATACATGTACATACATGGTATATGCCATACATAATTTATACATGTGATGCAAGATAAATTATATTTATGAAAAATATCAATGGTTTTCGGGTATATGCATGTGTGTTTGACAGATAACAACAACACGCTAGATGAATTTGGATTAAAAAGGCCCGTCGGAACTCCGGGGAGGAAACTAAATTCAGTCCAGATAATTCCTTTCCGTTCGGCCGCAAATACACACAACAGAGTAACCCCGTCTCAAGAAATCGATAACAAAAGCTTTATTTCCTAAAAATAACATAAATTATAGATCATGGTTACTTCTACAATGTTATAATGAACATTAATAATAGAAAAAAAATCTTACGATTTATTTAGTTGTGATAGGGGGAGACTTATTGTTCATCAGTATTGAAATACGTTTTTAAACTTCTGAAAAATTACAGTTGAATATTTAACGAAATTCACTAATGCTTCATATGAAAATATTCTTGCTTAACTTTAATGATTTCACAATAACGAAAATGTTTTAAGCTCCGTGAGATGGAGTACAAAGGGAATGCGGGCTGAAAATTTTGTTTGGCTTTCTCTGAGAGGAGATTTCATGTTGAAGACGACATTATACAGAGGTCTTAAAGTTAATGGTTAACACTGGCCCCAGGCAGGGTTTGAGGATGTTAGGATAACATACGAGAATGAAAACATTACCATTAACAATGTTTAAACCATGTAATTTGAATGATTGATAGGTACTGGATTGATAGATTGAAATAAACAGAAGTAATATTACGAGGTACATTTTGTTATTGTAGGTACATTAATTAATACTTTATTTAACAGGCGAATAATTGATGAGATTAGAAACAATGAAGTAAAATGAATTCATGTTGCACTTTTTCCTGTGATTTGTTTGCCAAAATAATTTAAAGGAAGAGTAAAAAAATTAATATGTGAACTGAAAATGAGCTGAGATCTCTATCATAATTTAAATTAAAGAGTTAAATTGAAGGAATTAATTAAAAAAGAAAAGATCAATATCTAATATAGAAATGTGAGTGATTGCTTCAACTTCAAGAATCGTTAATTTTAAGGTTTTTTTTCTATTTTTTTAGGGAAAATTTAATTTACTTGAATTGAAACGTTTTCCTGCTTGTTTTCTAAAAAAATGAAAATGTTTAAATAGTTGATTCCTGCGTTGATGCTTGGTATGGTTCTAATGATTGATTTTGTTGAGATCTGGGTGGAACTCATCCTGTGCAGGCTCTGGTCTGGGTTTCGGAGCTGGAGCTAGATTTCCTGCTCCTGCTTTCTCCCCTGAATCTCTTCCTGGAATTTCTGATTCAAAGGGGGTGATGGAGTTGTTCT